TGTGATTTAACAGTAAAATAGAATTACCATGTATTATCGTAATATTTTACAGTGGTTCTACTCCAAAGATACGTTGTTTTTTGTTGTTACATTTTCTGGAAGTGTGTATGACGTCACATGCCAGTTGTAAAGCGTAAAAGTACAAACTACAATATATTCAAAGTTCATTCACAAGTTGGATGTATAATCATTAAAAATTAGTTGGTGAGCAAGGAAGAGAGAATTTTCTTCATCTAACAGAATTTGAAGACTTACTTAATTGTTTTTTCATTTATTTTTTTACAGAAGCACACACACTTTTAATTTATATATATACGACCATCAACAAAGTAAGGGTAAATTCTGATAGCACTAATCTAAACAAGAAATTATTAATAATGTATTTTAATCTAATGTACAGTACGAATTTTTATAGGCCTTTTACTATGGTTTAGGCTAACAATTGCATCTTCCTTTGTAATTATTAACAATGTTTTAAAATTCACATTATTATATAGAAAAATATTTTTTAAGTGATATTGTCGATCACGTGATATACGTAACAAATCGCACATGAAGAACTACTCTGAACATACTATTAATTATGATTAAATGCGAAAGAAAACAAGAAACTGCCAAATTTATAAGATTAGGCCTGTTTTTTATTAAACAGCGTTGTGCTAAAATAAAAAAACTTAAAATGTTTCTATTAAACAAAGACATCTATAAGCATACTACAAAGTTCTAGAATCTCAACATTTTTAAAGCATTAAGTAAAATACTGTTCCACTTAGATCTAAAATATTTTATGCATCATATATATTTTCAGTTTTGTATTTTGCATTTGACGGCAAAGCTACTTAGGCTATCTGCCGCCGTACCTAAATTTGAACTACTGACCAGAGGGAAGACAGGCAGTCAGCAGCACTTCAACTATTCACGATAAGAGATTAACTGCCACACTTATAATGCACCCAAAGCTTAAAGTGCGCCAGTCCCAAAATCGAAAGCTCTACTAAAGGGTAAACTCTTCCTTTTAATTACTAAGCTTTGCCCCTAACTTCTTGAAGCTTTGTCAATATATATATATATAAATCTAATACTATTGAAAACATTAACTGTCCATACGTGGTTAAAATCAGCACTATAAAACAATAATGAACTTAATACATAACAAAACAACATTATAATGAATTTTGGTCTCATTATAATTAAAATACATAATTCATTTCATCCATATAGAACCCTTGGTTATATTGTACTTTTCTATCGATACAAAACCTGATATATATATACGTGTGTGTGTTCAAAGCAGTGATTGGCTATTACGTGTGTAATACAATCCTTTTACACGTGTTAGGTTAATTCTCACTTACCTGATACAACTGATATGGAATGATTCTTACTTGCAAACATAAACACTTGGCAAACAATAATATGACGTAACAGACTATGACTAGGGAACAACCGGTTTAAACAAATATATTTCTTAACAATAACAGCGTTACTAATACAAAAATCGTAACCTTTATAAGTTGAATAACGACTCCTTAAAAAACAAAAAAATCATGACAATAATGGAATCTTGCAAAGGAATGATCCCACAACGGTATTATATAGAGATTATTAATGAATTTCACAGTTTCTTGTACTTTACAATATGTATTTGTTTCTAGAACAGCAATTTTTTCTTAACTGTTCGGAAACTGTGCTCTACCAGAAACTTACCAAACCGGTCTTTCAACAGCTAGAACGAACTGTAAAAAATCATTCTTACAAATGAAAAATAACCACCGAAAACTGATGCTCAAAAATACAAAATAAACATTATTTTACATTAAGGATAACAATAATATAAAATATGGAGAAAAAATTAAGTACGATTGCAAATTTTAGTAGTTTTTTTACTTTTCTCAGCAATAACAAGCTTTATAAGCACAATAAAATTTTAACATTTTAAAAGAGTTGAATTTACTTTTTTGTTTCTCTTATGTCTATTTTCGTAATGTTAATTCTACCAATTGGGTTTTATCCTTTTTAAGACTAACTTTAAGTTTTTTACTCTTACTTCTAATAAGAGGATTTCTTGGTTATGGTTCAGAATTATAGTTTTTATGACAGGGAGTGACATGTTAAATACCACCAAATTCCCCTTCTTAGACGATCTTGAAATCAGTTGATCAGAGATATTCATCATGTTAATTATAATCGCAGCATACATGATCATTAAGTTCATTGCTGAATAATAACAGCATCTTAGTGCGATAAAATACGTAAAGAAATATCCAAGTGTAGAGCATACGCATAAATTATGGCTTAAACAATATTAAAATCAGAGCTAACACTAACATGCAAAGCAAGATGAACAGAGGATTGTTGTTGGTTTAGTTGAATCTCGTTAGAGTTCTACCAGTTGGTCCCGCGATGGGACAGCGGTAATTCTATGGACTTACAACGCTAAATTCTGGTGTTCGATTCCAGCAGTGGATACAACAGATAGCCCAATGTGACTTTGTTTTAAAACAAATAAACTTAACAGTGGTGTTTTCGAAATGAAAGTAACTTATAATTAACGTTCACTTCACAAGATTAAGTCACGTTACAACCATTAATTTATATTTGGTAATTTCTCTGAGTACTCTTTTCTTTTCAGTCGATTCTCCAGTTTTAACAATTTCTATAAGATAGTGATGCATAATATTTTAATAATATGTAATGAAACCAGTAGAAAGACCATATGCCCAGGGTCAGCATTAACAACCAGTGGAAAGACCATGTGCCCAGGGTTAGCATTAACAACCAGTGGAAAGACCATATGTCCCGGGTTAGCATTAACAACCAGTGGAACGACCATATACTCCACGTTAGCACCAAGAACCAGTGGAACGACAATATACTCCACGTTAGCACCAACAACCAGTGGAAAGACCATATGCTCACGGTAACACCAACATCCAGTGGAAAGACCATATGTTCCAGGCAGCATTAATAACCAGTGGAAATACCATATACTCCACGTTAGCACCAACAACCAGTGGAACGACCATATGCTCACGTTAACACCAACATCCAGTGGAAAGACCATATGTTCCAGGTAGCATTAATAACCAGTGGAACGACAATATACTCCAGGTTAGCACCAATAACTAATGAAAAGACTATTTGCTCCAGGTTAGCACCAACTTTAACTAATTCTCTTCTTCGCTTTTTTAAGGAACATTTTGGTTTTGGTTTTTGACAAATTTCTTCTTATCTAGCAAATTTGTAATAATTAATTTTATTCAATACTTCCTTCCCGTACCTTAACGTTATTAAAGAACGCCAGCAACCTAAAATTGGAAGTCACAATAGCTTCTTCTCCCCTCACCCCCCTTTTTTTTGTTTAAGCCAAAAGTTTGAAAATGGACTATTTGTGCAGGCCCACCACAAGGATCGAACACCAAGTTTTAACTTTATAAGCCTTTGAACTTAGCGCTGAGCCTCTGCAGAGCATTTATAAGAGCATACGATGCATCTTACTTAGCTTTAATAGTTTTGTACCCTAGAACTTAAAAGATAACCAAGTTTTGCTAAGAAAATATTTTTACAAACTACGTAGTGAACTAAATCCATAACAGTCCGTTTATCCATTTTTTGCTTCACATTTATGAATACGATTTTATTATATGTTTAAAATGATTTTCATCGTCCATTGCTGAGTAACAATTCCAAACACTTATTTTTAGAATTACCGAATGATCAGTATGGTTTACAAACTACGATGAGCCAAATCAAACCACACAAATAATATAAATATTTTTACGGTTTTGAGTTGTTTTCATTTATATTTAACTGTTACTATTCATATATTACAAAATAAAAATGATATACATATCTATATATCGATAGCTGCTTCTTTTGGGATGGTAAAATCAAAACAAAAATCTCTGGAATTTATTCCTTCATTAATTACTTCACTATTGTAACACTCGAAAACCACACATTTTATACGAGGAAAGTTTTTGATAACCTGAGAGTCAAGTTCTCTTAGCTCTCTCTGCAAACTTCAATGAAATTCTCCTAGTTGTTCTAAGTAAAATAGAAGATCAAAATACTGTTTTTACAACAAAGTTGTTACAACAAGGTTTATCATATACGCACAAGAAAAAGTTAACGTTTTATTGACAAAACAAAAACGGGGGTTTAAAGATCATTACTATGATCTTAAAACAACAACAAAAACAACCTGCTTAACGCAGAAGCCAGTTCAGCATAAAACTTTCTTTTATATGATATTTTCCCAAACATTTAGAGTTTTATACAATTCGAAACAATCTAATAGAGACAAAATAACTTTGGATGGTAGTAAACTTAATAACATAATAGTAGCAAAAACTATCGTGGTTTCTAATAAAGAAAACTGTCTAACTGTATATTATAAGCTCTAATCACATTCGTGAATTATATTGACTGTTTTCATTTAATCTAAAGGTCGAAATCACTTCATGGACCTTAACTTATTCCGAATGAAAATTTAAAACCACTAACTTTACTATTGCGAATTTATCAACTAGTGTGTTGATAGCTTTTGTTTGCATAAGTTAAGCACAAAGCTACACAATGAGTTATCTGTGCTCTGCCCACCACGGGTATCGAAACCCGGTTTCTAGCGCTATACGTCCGCAGACATACTGCTGTGCCACTGGGGGCTTGTTGATAGCTTTAAGTATTTATTAGATATATTAGAGCGCGTTAATAGCAAAGGGCATTAAATCTAAACAGCTAAGAAAAACAACAAATATACTTCAAATATTATACGTATTCTTTTAAATTGGAATCTAAGAATCTAAGAGTCTAATAATTATTTGACGTAAAATATTATAAAAATCGGTACAAAAGTTAATTTCGGAGACAGAAGTAAAAAAAAAACTTCCTAAAATTGGTTCCTAAAAATATCATAAATCTCAAAAATAGATACTTTGCATACATATATGAATTCTACTTAACTATATGTTTAACACATTTGTAATAAAAACACATAATAACAACAAAAAAGAATCAGTTTTACATCAGTATTCTCTGACTTCTGCTCAAGAAGATTAGTCTCCTCTCGCCATAAAGTCTTCTTTGTTGAGAAGCGGCTTGCTGTCTTCCAGTTCTTTAGCTAGATCAGCAACGACATCGCGAAAATGCAAGGAATCTATATTTTTACATAGTAAATCCAGTATAAACCAATCGCCTATTTTACAGTGCTGGATGATGATTTCAATGTTTCTTTTGTTTGCAAGGCGAGCTCGGAACCTGAGGAGTAAAAGACGAGACCGAGGCCAGAGGATGATGGTAACCCTGTAAACCAGCATAATGCCCGAAATGACAGCCAGAAAGACGAACCAGAACCATAGGATGATGTAAATTTTCTCGTTCAGGATATTAAGTGGTAAGAGACATATAGCATCATGACGCTGGACGTCACCAGATGACCCGTATCGATGGAAGGTACATTTCGTCAATCTTGGAAATACTTTGACCATTGGGTCTACTCGATCTTCTTGCTCCATTTCAGAAAACTGTATGACCTGTATGCCGTATGTGGTGAACTGACCGCCGAGGAAAGTGTCTATCATGTACATCTGCCCAATTACATTAACAAAGTTCATGACTTCGCTGAGAAAATAGTAAAAAAAGTACATTCCATGGTTATTAAAATTTTCCTTTAAGTGGGCAACTAAAAGATCTTTTGTCTCATTCTTTTTGTCCAGAGTCAGAACAGGAGTGTTAAAATCCATAACAAGACTTCTGATTCTTTTGCCTTCCCAAGATTTCCACAAGTACCGAGGAACGTAGAAAAGAATAGCTTGAAGAAAAAGAACAAAACAGACCCACTGGTAATACATATGATACACTCTGTCTTCCCCGGGAGTGTATTTGTCAACTCCAGGAGCAGGAATCTCTACTCCTACTTTCTTATTTAAAGCATTCGGGAGAGTAAAGGTGGAATGGATCCAACAGTATGTATCCAGCAGCTCATGAGGAATGTCATCGTTACTAATACAATCGATTGGATCCCCAAATAATTGTGAGCTAGTGACTAATAGGCTGAGAGCAGCTAACATTAAAACAGTGACTTTATAATGTAAGCGAAAAACATTGTTATCAATACAACAAGGGTCTAACTTCAAAACGCCTTTCAGAGATTCGAAAAGTTCAAGAAGCATTGTGGTTCTTTAAAGTCAATAGCCAAAGCTAAGCACTTTATGTCTAAGAATTGTTATTACTTTTACCAATAGCTTTGTTAGTAATTTGTACTTTTATCAATATCTGTTTCTGATAAGTATCTGGCCGATGATTATTTTTTTAGTTCACACATACGATATTTTAAACAGTGAAAAAGATTAGTCTGTTAATCCTTAGGGCTGGAAGCAAAGTGAAAAAAATCAACTTGTAGTGCATCTCAGACTCCTGTATCACCGCCCCTGCAGTGTAAAAATGGTCTGCCCCTGCTTGGACACCATTCGTCAAGACTCAGTTTAAACTATTCAGAGTCTAGGGCCGTAAGTTCCTACGTGACGCAGTCTTTCAGTCAAAGCTGAGTCCAGTTCTCGCAATGCCCGCTATAGGGCGTTCGAAATTTCCAAATAAATAAAAGTATCTCGCAACATTTGGGGATTTTAGAAAAACTGAAATCGTAGAAGACGTTAACAAAAAGTAATATGTTTATCTTAGTATAGATTAAGTTTACAGACAAATCAAAGTGTTTGTCTCAATACTTAAATAACAGTGTCATTGTTAGGAAGAGTTTTATTTGCTAATTTTCTTTTCTGTCTCAAAGATGTTCTATAAAAAATCCCCCCGGTGGGGCAGCGGACTTATAACGCTAAAACACAGGGTTCGATTCTCCGCGATAAATACAACGGATAGCTTAGTGTCGTTTTACTCTGAGATAAGCAAAATAGTCTTATTTGTTAAAGCTAACAAGATAATTTTGTATGATTAACTGATGTAATAATACATCTACACTGATGAGTCAATAAACATTTTACATTATGGGTCTGAAAAATGTGTTTGAATATTAATTCATTGCGATATATACAAAGTTTCTATACTGTATATATTTTTTTTCCATTTATAGTTTTCAGAAATTTACTTGAGGGCTATCTACGCTAGCGTCCCCTAGAGACAAAAAGGTTCAACAACACACACCGCCAACTCTTAGACTACTGTAATCGAATAGTGGGGTTGGATCGTCACTCTTATAACACGCTCAAGACCCCAAATTGCGAAGCACGATTTTTTTTTAGAGGGGAGGGGTGCGCTAACGGGAAGCTAACACTGGAACTGCAGAACCATACCTCACCGCGCTGTCCATTAGTCTACAGTCGACCTATGATAGCCGGATACGTGAAGAAAGAGTCTTATTTAATGTGATTGAATAAATATCCAAATCATCTTTACATAGAAGTTGAAGATATTATTTAGACTTAGCTTGTTGTTGTTGTTGTTAAAAAAAAAAGACTAACAATACAGTCACGACATTGGAACAGACTGCTAAACCGGTATTTACAAGGTAACGCGGATTATAGATTAAAAAAAAAGAAATTATGAAACAGTTTAAGATCCCTTGTAGTTTCCTAGATGTCTTGTTTTGTGTGTGAATGTTTAAAAATACTTTATTGTAGAAAAGTCGAAGTAATATACCTTCAGTAGAAGTATTGTGTTTACGTCTTCAGAAGAAGTACTGTGCTTACGTCTTCAGATAAATATTGTGTTTACGTCTTCAGTAGAAGTATTGTGTTTACGTCTTCAGAGAAGTATTGTGTTCACGTCTTTAGTAGAAGTATTGTGTTTACGTCTTCAGAGAAGTATTGTGTTTTCGTCTTCAGAAGAAGTATTGTGTTTACGTCTTCAGTAGAAGTATTGTGTTTACGTCTTCAGAGAAGTATTGTGTTTACGTTCTCAGTAGAAGTATTGTGTTTACGTCTTCAGCAGAAGTATTGTGTTTACGTCTTCAGAAAAGTATTGTGTTTACGTCTTCAGATCCTATAAGATCAGTATTTTGGTAATAAGGACACGTGCATACATTAAAAAGAAACTACCGATTCAAACTGAAAAAAAAATTATATTCAAAGAGCAAAATGTAACATTTTATAGCTATTTTAAAGCTGAAAATTACTAAGACATAACAGGAGCAATGGGTATAATTCGTTTATAAAAAAAACAACACTTGGTTTCTTTGAGAGTAAATTAGATTAATAAACTTAAATTAATGTTCTGTGTGAAACTCAAACAACACGGTATGTTACAAGATTTTCATATGTTATGCTTATACCAGAAGTGTCAAAGCAGATGCATGAAATGTGACTTAGGGGATAAGCTAAAAATGACGCTACAAATGTTAACTATTTCATTCATTCATTGTTTGTTTATCAACACACATTATAATGAAAAAATAAGCTTCAAAAGCGTTTTGAATCCCGCCCAAATTTCAGTTAACACATGGGACTTTCCACATTATAGATACTTTGGCTACTTGGAGAAGTTAACGACTTAAATATCGTTAATAAAGGAGTTTCTGTGCCTTTTGGCTGAATCTAGACTAACTTTTCCAAGCTTTTTAACGTGGTAAAATGACATGCTGTATCTTATGTCATAGTTTTAAGTTTTCAAGGTTTCCTTAAGACTAGTAATAACTGAATTGATAAAAACTGGAAATCGTGATTTCCTTTAAAATCTAAGTATTAATTTCACGGATCATGATCTGTACATAAAAACTGGAAATCAAGGCTGCCTTTACAATCTAAGTATTAATTTCACGGATCATGATCAGTAGATAAAAACTGGAAATCAAGGCTGCCTTTACAATCTAAGTATTAATTTCACGGATCATCATCTGTACATAAAAACTGGAAATCAAGGCTGTCTTGAGCGAGTTGTTTTTATTAATACGAACATCATCTCTTAGTTATTGCTGTTGTAGGATTCTTTGTCTGTCAATATTCATTCCACTGTCCCACAGTGGGAGAGCGAGAAGTTTACGGATTTACAACGCTAAAATACGAGCTTCGATGATCCACAACAATCTTACAGTTGTTAATAAAATGTAATAGAAATAGTTTCATCTTTCTGGGTATGACAAATAAAACACATCTCACACGTATTTTACATTACTCGATTATCTTTCAATTTTAATCCCAGGATTAACCCTAAGCTAGGGTTATTGGCCCTAATATCTTGGTAAGAAATCAACAAACAGAACTGTTTAAAGCATATAAACTTTGCCTTGTGTGAAACTGAAAGACACGTTATAATTGTGTAGCTATATTATTATCAATGATTGGAATTTTATCATTAAAAGTTCATCAGAATAACCGCTGAGCTACTGAGGGAAGGGCGTCAGTATCTGTAATGAAACAGTATTAGAATTTTGCTTTGATATTGTCTTCAGTAACATTTGATTAACTATATACATCTGAGCTATACACCCTCTACGAATGTCTTCGTGATAGGAGAATTTGTTGACCTTATTATGGATGCAAGTAAACCATCAAATATTATATGTGTTATAAACTGTATTTTATGGATATCACATCTTTAAATGCAACGCTGAGTAATGTTCTACTTTTCTTTGGAACAATTCCAGCAATTACAGAGTCAATCTATTTATGTAGGACAGACTTACAACCCTTTTCTTAATGTGTTAATAAAGTTTTATTGTGTTGCATCGGAATAAAGTCAAATAACCCTTTGTACTTTCAGTAAAGGGTTGAACTTTATATTTCTTGTAACCGAACATCCAGTATCAGAGGGATAGACCAACAAACGCTCTTCTAGACAAAGAACACAAGTTGGCTCGCATTCACTTTCCAGTCTTATATTTCAGACTGTCCTTTATCCATGTAATTAAAGGAAAGCTTTATCTTTTTCTTCTAGCTTCTGTTTAGGTGATATGAAAATGAATGAGCTATTGCATAGCATATCAGTTTTTAATATGAATATCATTATATTATACCACATCAGTTTTTAGTATGAATATCATGATATTATACCACATCGATTTTTGGAATGAATATCATAACATCATACTACATCGGCTTTTAGTGTGGATATCATGATATTATACCACTTCGGTTGTTTGTATGAATATCATGCTATCATACCACTTCGGTTGTTTGTATGAATATCATGATATTATACCACTTCGGTTGTTAGTATGAATATAATGATATTATGTCACTTCGGTTGTTAGTATCAATATCATGCTATTATACTACTCGGTTAGTTGTATGAATATCATGCTATTATACCACTTCGGTTGTTAGTATGACTATCATGCTATTATACCACTTCGGTTGTTAGTATGAATATCATGATATTATACCACTTCGGTTGTTAGTATGAATATCATGATATTATACCACTTCGGTTATTTGTATGAATATCATAACATCATACTACATCGGCTTTTAGTGTGAATATCATGATATTATACCACTTCGGTTGTTAGTATGAATATCATGATATTACACCACTTCGGTTGTTAGTATGAATATCATGATATTACACCACTTCGGTTGTTAGTATGAATATCATTCTATTATACTACTTCGGTTATTTGTATGAATATCATGCTATTATACCACTTCGGTTATTTGTATGAATATCATGATATTATACCACTTCGGTCGTTTGTATGAATATCATGATATTATACCACTTCGGTTATTAGTATGAATATCATGCTATTATACCACTTCGGTTATTTGTATGAATATCGTGCTAGTTATATCACATCGGTTTTAAATCTAGTAAATAATCCTAAAGAAAGGACAAGTTCAATATGTTAATAACATTTTAATCGAAAATTATTCTTATTATGGAGAGCTAATAGCGACGGACAGTATTTTCAAGAACACTGCTAAATTACATGATTTTGAGAAAATTGTGGAATAGAACTTGAAAGTCCTGATATAAACTTTTGGAATAAAACATGAATTTTAATTTCTATAATTGTCTCACGCACTATGCAAATGTTTTCAGTCTTTCGTGATAGTTTACAACATTTTACAGTTTGTCAGATGTACAATCATAAACACTCCAGACTTGTTCTAAATCGATAAAAGTCAGGTAAATAAACATGCTATGGTAAACTTTTCTTTTTCTTTGCTCGGAGTTATGGGGGGGGGGGTCGGTGTTGAATCAGGTACCACTTCTTAATTCAAGAAATAAATCTTTGAAATTAAATGTTAGGTTTCTACATAAAAGTAAAACAAAAAAGAATAGATGAATATTTTAAGATTTGTTCTTGATTGCGTTTGAGCGATAAAATTAAATCACAAGCATTTTAGTTATACCAGTTCAAAATTAGCAACATTTAAAACAATATTTTCAGGAACTTGCTTTCACGCGTTAGTAAGAGAAAAATATATGACAAAAATGTCATTAGAT